ATTGTATCGTATGGGTGGCATCTCCTTAGCTACATACGTCTTCGGGCCGTATCAACAGCTGTCTGTGTGACAGTGACGGCAGTCGTGGTATGACTGCCGGGACCGCCAGCTTTACATGCCCGTACGAAGCATGGTAGTCAGGAGATGTACCACTAAAAACTGGCAAGTTGTTGGATTCGAATTCGCAACCTGTGGGGCTAGAGTCCAAGTCTTAAACAGTTATGCCAAACTGTACTACATATCATGTTAAATGAGTTGGCTGTTTGATTAGACTGCGTCGCGTCGTCAGCATAACATAATATATTAATTTCCTTCTCTTCCATTTTATGACCTTTCATTGTACGTAGTACGTACTCCCCTTATAATCTCGTCCATGATGATGACTTTATAGACTAGAAACCAATTTCGTAAGAAAATTCGAAGGGCTGTAACTTTTGAACTAGTAGCCCAATCTTGGAACTGTTTGAAATTATGGATTCTACAGGCCACATTCTATAAGAAAAATTTTTTTCCGGGTCGATCTGAGGCAATTTTTTTTTCGGGGCTCAAAAAAAGGCAGTGTATAACCTTCCTTTTTTACCAAAAATCGACTACACCAAAATTTCTCGGGAAAACACTTTTTCTTATTAATTTTTGTGCGTAGAATCCAAAACAATTCGTACTTTTTCGATCAGACTTCTCAATCAAAAGTTATAGACTAGAAACCAATTTCGAAAGAAAATTCAAAGGGTTGTAACTTTTGAACTAGTAGCCCAATCTTGGAACTGTTTGAAATTATGGATTCTACAGGCCACATTCTATAAGAAATTTTTTTTCCGGGTCGATCTGAGACAATTTTTTTTTCGGCCCTCAAAAAAAGGCAGTGTATAACCTTCCTTTTTTACCAAAAATCTACTGCACCAACATTTCTCGGGAAAACACTTTTTCTTATTAATTTTGGTGCGTAGAATCCAAAACAATTAGTACTTTTTCGATCAGACTTCTCAATCAAAAGTTATAGACTAGAAACCAATTTCGAAAGAAAATTCAAAGGGCTGTAACTTTTGAACTAGTAGCCCAATATTGGAACTGTTTGAAATTATGGATTCTACAGGCCCCATTCTATAAGAAAATTTTTTTTCCGGGTCGATCTGAGACAATTTTTTTTTCGGGCATCAAAAAAAGGTAGTGTATAACCTTCCTTTTTTACCAAAAATCGACAGCACCAAAATTTCTCTGGAAAACACTTTTTCTTATTAATTTTGGGGCGTAGAATCCAAAACAATTCGTACTTTTCCGATTAGACTTCTCAATCAAAAGTTATAATGATGAGTTCTGCGTTAATTCTTCCCTGGATCGGATTTGTTTTATGTACCTATGTCTTCCATTGTTTTTTTTTCTTATAGATATCTTAAAAAAGTTTTTGTTTGTTTATATTACTCTCATGTAGTGAATGCACCTGTATAACATGATGTATGGGAATAAAGTCAATTATGATTACTGCCTACCGTAAAGGAGCCTTTCAACTGGACCTGGTCGAATGCTTTCACTAGATTGATGAAGCATATTTATCCAGGCTTATAATTGTATTCGATTGATTTTTCAGTCTTAGGACGAAAACGGTATCTGTGTAAAATTTGCCTGATCTAAATCGTTGTTGTGTATCCTCTAGACTAGTCTAGGGGGAGATAAGGGTATCGGTCTTGTTTATTATAATTGAGCTTTTGTGTGGTACTCAGTAAGTTTATTCCTCTATAATTCGACGTTACTTTTTTGTCTCCCTTTTTAAACGTTAAAATAGTAGTGCTGGTCCTCCATTCGTTTGAGTTGTGGGTAAAGGATATTTGATCCTTATCTAAGATTCATCTTTACCATATAATGAATTACTGATACCTTATTCTGTTTAAAATATAACACACACACCTCTAAATGCTAAACAAAATTTTAATCCAACCAAAGGACTAGTATTACCGAAATAAAATGCAAAATTCCAATCAGTGAATCAAAATACCCCAAATCCTTTGTTTGGATCCGATTCTTATCAATAAATATAATATAGAATCTGTTTCATGCAGGTCCATAAATGGACTTCAAGTTATCAAACTAATTCTCATAGGTCGATTCTTTTAGGAATATTAAAATTACTTCGAACAAAATTCTTATACGAATTCCTAAAAATAACCAACCACTGTATACATATCTAAAATTTAAAATAACTTGCAGCTATTGACGTGGGTAATCTTTTCTTCTGGTATTAATTGATATTACCTCTTGCCGAAAATCGCTGCTCCCTTTAGGCCGCTTCGATGGTTCAGTTGACTCCCTGTCCCTGATGAATGAAAATCAAAAATGTACCTACGTATTGTGAATCCAAGCAAACCGGCTACAATCCGCTAACAAGTCTATGCTAACCAATATACCGCGCATCCATCGGACCTAATGTCACCTTCGGTTCTCAAGATATCGGCAATAAAAGAGGCTTACAACCTTTTTGTAATAAAATCTACTAGCGTATCTGCAAAAACTACATTGTATAACTCATTTTCGGGAATTCTAGAAAAAAATCCATTTGAAGGGTAAATTTTTAATCACTTTTGTGTTCCGCTACAGGAAAGATATCCCCTCTCCCCATTCAGTCTTCGTACATCAGTGTTTACAATGACCCTTGCGATTTCACATTAAATTTTACATTTTACCATAAAATAAAATCGCTATTTTTATTCAATGACTTTACCTAATCACATGAGCTTGCCATTGTATGCTTGTGATTCTAGGTACCTACTATTCTTCAAGAAGATGGGCGAAAACGGGTATCATTTCACTGGATTACGTTTGTAAAATAGGACATTACACTTTTTCTAGACCCCTAGTTGTGTGAGGGCAAAAATACGCGCTTGGTGTGGTTTCCAGAAAATCCGCCACTGCTTACGTAATACAAGAATCAATAGATCAATAGATCACCCTGCGTTGGAAGAAGTCTTTCCTTTTACTCAGCACACATGATTCCGTGTCACTAACTTGAAAAAACCCTACAAGTGTTAGTTTCGAAAGTGGGCGAAAAATTTTTCAAGCAGTCGATCTTTCTCTTGACACTTATATAGAGTTTATCGATTATCTCCGAAAGTTGCACTTACATCCGGCTGTGGAATGCCTCTAAATACGCATGCATCTCGTATAAGATCTTTGCTCGTAAGTATTTATTGTCGTAGAAGACGGAAAGTACTATGGCAAAATCGCCACCCCGCAAACAGCCCGTTTGTGAAAATAAATTTGTTTGTTCATATTACAACGTTGAGACTCGTGTTATCCATATGCCAACTACGCCTGTGACACTAGACAAATTTATATACCTTCAGTCTCAACCCCTAAAGTATGTCTGCACCGCAAATAATTGAAATGAATGAGTAGGTATACCGATTGTAGGTAGGGGCCAGAAGTGTTTCCTTGATTTCTTAATAATAACAATGAAATAAACGTTCACAACTGTTATCTACGCATTTTTTGGCAAAGGCTCTAACTTTTCAAGGAGTGCCTATACGTCAAAATTAAAGGGCGCGTATTTGATATGTTATCAAACGTTGATAAATAGCGCAACTCATTGATGAACTCAATGTAATTTAATTGCATCACGAACGATGCAGTTTGCACATATTATTTTTAATGGTGTTTTATTTTACTTGGCTCTATGCACCATTTAAAATGAGTAGGGGGAAAACGTCAGAACACACCTACCATCTCGTGACGCAAAAAAAGGCACGTTGGGGCTTGAAATAGATTAGGTATGCAATGCAGATGAAGTGGGGGGGTCGAATTTTACTTCGTTATATACAAAGCGCCAATTTCGCTTCGCCAATTTATTTTTAAATAAAACATTACCGCACACACTTCGGCATTTTGGATTTATATGCACTTAACCGATTTTTACCACCCCAGTATTGTTTTATTTGGATATATCCGGTAAGATAGTGTGGATAAGTTTGCATTGTGGCTTTCAGCTTTATATAATTAATAATTGTTCTAGTCATTTTATGGTAAATGAATTAACCGCAGTGTCAATGTTTTTTGGCCAATGGCAACTTCTAGTTTATCATTGAGAAAATTATTTTTCATACCGGTGACCTTTATTACCCGCTGCATTTCAATTAGAATATGAAGTTTTTTATTCATGCAAGGCTAGTGATTGGGAACACGAGTTTGGGCCATTAACGTCATTTTGGCAAATTGTATGGTCTTTCATAACTAATATTTGGCACCCACCCGTTAAAAATTTTTGCTCAAATTTACACCTCGATCTTAGTTAAAGTGCTCGTAAATGACGTTACTCGTTACGCTCTATTCAGTATTAAATTGATACATCATCATCTCTTAACAAGTTAATTGAAAATTTACTGCATGATTGTTTTCACGTATTGAATTTTGTTTTACTATCACAAAAGGCAATCACCGTGCTACTCTAAAATTATGGACATTATCTTATTACCTCTAATTAAAACATCCTAGACATAATTTTAAATATGTAGTTTAATTGGATGCCGAATTGATAGAAAATAAAATAAACAAACGCTAACGGAAAATTACCATTGATTTTAATCGATTGAAAAATTTGGTCAATAAGACTTTAAGGGTCGAGATCCTAATTAAAATAATCTTCTTGGTGGTCTTGACACAATTTAAAAAATAATCTTTGCCGTACCTGCTGATGAGTAATTTAATAAATGGGCGTTTTGTTTTTATTTTCGCGATCCATAAAGACAATTAATGGCGGTAGTAAACAAATTAATAGATCACTGATGATATTTCATTAACATTGCATTTACGACTTACGTATTAAATAATGAATCGAGAAAAATTAAACTCTTCCCCCAATTGTAAGTAGATGTATTCTTAATAAAAAAGCTGCGCGTACAACGTTTTGATTCATTTACAGTCTGTACCGTTGCTTGCAACGACTGCAAAATTAAAACAGCATTAAAAATTTTTATTGTTGATCTAACGACATTAATCGATAATAATTGTTTCAGCGTCGATTAAGAAACATTCGCTAAAGAAACACAGTATTTTCAACGTAATAAAATAATGTTAGATAATATTCCAAGTATCAGTGATGGGATACGGTTGTCCGTAAGAAGACTGCCCAACATCTTAAGAAGCAGCGAGCAGCAATACCATCAGGAGGGTGGTGAGTGCAATTTTAATTTTTTTTTTTTTCCATTTTATTTACAAAATTTGTTTCCCAATTACGTGAGATTAAAATCTATAATTACTCTGCCGAGAGACGAGGTTGGTTATCTGTGGTTTTGTATCGAGATTATTTAATTATAGTATGGACAGGTAGCAAAGATTCTGGGTACTTTCCAGTAGTGGAAAGTTACCAAATACAAAATTAATTTAATCGAACACACTTGTTTGTGTTATACCGAGTGGTTGCAAAAAGTTTTTTTCGGATCAGCGTGTGCACAATTAATCCTTTAACAGCTTAAAAAACCAAAAGCATTTTTTTATATTTTTGTGGAATGGTACCGTAAACGTAACTTTGTTACCATTTCGGAATACCGGAAAATAAATCTAACCTTCTAATGCAAGGAAGGACGATCACTTGGACTTCCTCGTCGGAACTTGACAATGACAATGATCATTTGCATTTTCTTCTACTTTTTTTTTTAGAAGCGCTAAAGCTATACGCAAACTGTCAATCGATATGTGTGACTTGCATACTGAATAGCCGTAATTTGTATTCTCAGCTAGTGCCACAATAATCGTTAACAGATAATCTAAATTTTGTACTTAAATTTACAGTCTGATGCATTACGACTTTATTTGATTCGTTATCGCATTTCAGGCATTTTTTTGAACAAGGGTTGTGCAATGTTAGGTGTTTTAAATTGCCAGTTCTTAGTGTTAATTTAATAGTTTTTCAGGGAAGTGATATCACAGATTATGAAAGCAAAAGTTTTTAAAGCCCTGCTAATACTCAAACGATTATGAATTTTTGATAACCTGATACCAGTTCCGTTTGTGTAAGGAGTGGGGGAGGGGGTGGAAGGATATAAGTATTGTCATAACTAGCATCAATGTTGATTTAATTATGAGATGATTTTAACATTATACATTGTTCCCATTTTTCACGCTTCACCATGAGGATGGATCTCCAACATCTTAGGAGCTTTTGGTTGAATTGCAACATTTAATCCCGCATCTGAATTGAAAGCACTCATGTTTTTCCAAATTTAGCATTTCATTAAAATAATGCAACACAATTTGATTTTCTATTACGATTTGACAAAAATACCTAATTATTTCATTTTCAAGTTGGGGAACAAAAGATGGCTGTGAATTACCCACTAATAACGTATAAACCCCACATGTGTCAACACAATATAGAAAACTTGTGAAATTACCTTACCAGTTAAAAAACTGTAAATACAGCTCTCAAATCATGCTTTGGCATTTCAATCACTGTGGTAAATCGCTTGTCCCGAAATCGTCAGGAAACCTTCATTTTCATGCGTAGGTACTTTATGTGAGGAAATTTTACTTTTCATGACAGTGGCCGTAACACTTTACTTGACTGCTTTTCCTGCTTCCTGTCCTTTACCACTAATTACCACACTCATAGCAATTAAAATTTTATATAACAAAAAAGACGATTTCGGGAGTAATGTAATATAAAATTCGCCAATCAAATACCTATAACAATGCCTCGGAAGTTAAAGTACTCTCTTGCTTCAATATTTTCTCGCCAGTAGTATCCCTAATGTGTCATTTTTCCTGACTTCTGTATAAATAATTATTAAATCCTAAAGCGTACGACATTAAAATCGACGCAATTATCGTCTCTTGTTTCAAGGCACCTTATTTTAGTTTTATTCAGAACAAATTTCTCCTTTAAAAAATCCGAAAATCCAATGACCGTCGTAAGAGGAAGGCTCAGATTATTAAATTTGCTCTGCTCGAATCGGACTAAATAACAATGTTGCAATAACTGTGGGGTATATGACGCAAACTAGAAGATGCACTATTGTGTAGGACATAGGTACTTTTTTCATATGACGAAAGGAAAAAAAAGTATCTAGTTCGAACTTGACCGTCACACTAAAATAAGAAACAATTGGCTTTCTGCCAGGGTTTTTAATACGTGCAAAGCGTTTCAATATTTTTCCAAGTTTGGAAATTTTTTTCTTTCCGACGCGGTTGCGTTCAATATGCTATAATAAAAGTTTGCGCAGGGTAATCCATTAGACATCGTCTAAGTAAATTATACTTGTAACGCAAGTTAGATTGGGGGTTAAAATAGGATTGCCAGAGATCCAACAATTATAAACAGGACAGATGCGCCAATAAAAATTCCTACTTGTGAAGGGGTCGATAGTAAGGACATTTCATAATACTTTTAAAGAAATTCCTAATAAAAAGGGGCACATGAAATTCGAAACAGGATTATTTTTGGCTAGTTCCAATTTTGAGTTCGAAGGGTGCCATATTTCACGATAAAACTCCTTTATTAATCCCTTATCGCTAAGAGTCACGATAGTTAAAATTTGAAATAGTACGATAGAGAGCATCGGAGAACACATTTCCTGACGTTGTGATCCATTAGCTTTTGTTAATGCTCAAAAATAGGACATTTTTTGGAAAAATATTCACGAAAATTATTTTGTTGGCTGTCTATTAATTTAGTGAATTTAGTGATATTGTCCCTTTTGCTCTTATAAAATCAAAAAATCTTTTGATCAACAGAAGGACCATTATGTCCTAATACTCCTAATTACAGTTATAGCAGAGATAAAAACGTACTCCAGTAACGCAAACTATCGTTAAGATAAGATTAGAAAAGTAATAATTGGTTGGGCATATCCAGATAACATGATTTGATAATTTTTTTATTTTCGCTCTAATTGGACAATGAGGTTTGTGACGTCAAAGGGATATATTGATGGAGATGCAGTAATCGGAACATAATGCACAAAATTCATTGTTATCGCCTTGGTATAACGAGCGAAGCAAACTTTATCGCTCGAATCGGTTTTACAATACAAATTCTGGCGCGAAAATTAAAATGAAGCAATCAATAATGGAATTGCATGGCGCAATAGGAATACAATTGTACGTAGGTAAACGTGATCAATATCCCTACGGTCAAGCATCGAAAGTTTTGCGAATTTGAGTGCGTGTAACTGGCTTCTAATCGAACAAACTTTAATTTATTGTTTATAATCCCAAATCCGTTTTCCACAGATCTGGAGCGATAAGATTCTGCTTGTAGGCAACCGGCGGTACGCAAGCGTACTCTTGAATCAGTTTATGTTAACGTGACGTGACAAAATAATAGTTCCGCTTTTGGCAGTACATTTAAAATATGGTATTGCATTTTGCATAATGCACCTGCATTTCACTTCCGAGTTCTCCTACGTAAGACTAACATAAAACAAACACCCAAATTTTTGCTTGCACAAAAAATTGGAAGAGCGGAGCAATTTTTTCCCCACCTAATTTTTCGGGCACACTCTCACGTTACCTAAAATACAACACAATCCCTTCCTTTTTGTCATTGATATATTAACTGTTAAGCGGAACACCAAAATTCGCAAAATAAAAGTTAATAGGAGCTTCCGATTTTTTTTTTAAATAAAGGGGGACAACAAAATTTTAAAAAAAAGCTCCTGCGTACAGAGTACTAAATTTACGTATGCAAGTTTTTTGTCGCAATTTGCTAATTACAATTTGAAACTTAAAAGCTAATCGCGCTGTGTTGAATGTTTAAACGTTTGTAGTTCTTCAAGCATTCCGTATTCGAACGTGTTCATTACAGTACAGTAGTGCTTCTGTGTTTGTTATTGGTTAATTAATATTTGATAATTTTACAATTATGCTGTTGGAGAGTACCGAAATGTTGACCAGCTATATGGATTTAGGTAATATTATTTATTTACAATTCTACCTATTATCAATTTTCTAAATATGTATTCCGCTTATGTTATCGACTGCTTCTTCCGTTTGTGGAGTGGAAAAGAACTGGCCACTCCTACTTGTAACATTAAGCCTTGGATATTGGCACACCTGCCGGCGCTATTCTCATTTTCAATGCAATCTAATGGAAAATTCCACTGCCCTTTTCTTTGCACTTTTGTTTATTTTTAAACTAGTTTTGCTAAATTTAGAGATTCTCTTACTAATACGAATTTTCTATGAATGCGAATCGTTTCCGTTTTTTATTGCTTGTCGTGTTTAATTATTTTTTGCATAATGTGATCAGACACGTGTCGTAATTAACATTATCAATGCATAAAAATGAAAGTATTTTAAATGCAATTTAAAAATAATTTGTAATTATTGCAGCACTCACTTCCGGGTTTAGATTTTTTGCGGCATTTTAAGTGTCTAGACGTATAAGACCGATTGGGTTTCATTTTTGTGCATTTCTCAGGTCATAGGAATTTTCCTATAGCAACTACCCGCGGGCGTTCTAATTATCGGACGCTATCCTACTTTTTGTGAATGTGCAGTTAAAATTTTTGCACCGCAGGAATGTAGGGGAATGGTACGATAATTGCATCAGCCTGCAACGAAAAAATAAATAATTACTTTGCGAAATGAGAGGCTCGTTCGATGTCATGTGATATAATTAACCTTATTAACATTACTTCAAGGCAACTGCTACGTCACAGACACACCTCCGTACAACGTCATACAGGTTGTGTGTGTCTCTCCCACTTTTCTCTTCGGATGGTGCACCCTGTCCTTGAAATATTTCTTATGCACTCGAGTTCAACTGAAACCAAAAAAAAATTAAATTAATCCGCATATTCAAAAATGATCATCTTAGTGCGATAATTTGGTGGAATTTGACACGTATCAATTCTGTACAAAATGAAAAAAGCTGAAAGGTGATTTTTTTGCTTCGATCAGCACAATACAGTATGTACTCTTAAACCTCCCAATCATTATCTACCGCTTAATAGTTTTGTTCGTAATTGCAATACGCGATGGCATTATCCGTTAAGTAGCCAGCACTTCTACTGTTAAATTTTTCTTATCATTAGCTTGAAGTAAACAACATGATCTCCAGTGGTCAGTCAATAAAACAGTTTGATTGGTGCCTTTAGTAAAGCAACATACGCTTACCACTTTTTTAATACCTACCAAAGAGACCAAATGGGTACAGGTCAGTTTTTAAAATTTTTTTAAGAACGCGTTAATTCAAAATAATTTTTTTATGAAAAAATTTCCACACGTGAAAGCAATTTTCTAGCCATTTAACTTTTATTGAAATTTACTAAATCCAGAAGACTTTCTTCTGTTAATTATTGATTAACGTGTCAGTTTCTAATTGCGCGAAAAAGTTAAACAAAATTCCGCTTAACATCAGCAAACAATGCACTGACCTTAATTGCAATTTAGGATTGAAACCTATTACAATACAAGCGTTTAAGCAATTGTACGAACCCCGCTTTAAGCCATAATACCTACACAATAAAATAATTGTCATTAAAACGTATCAAATATTGTCACCACCGATATTGCGCACGTGGAGTTTGTACATCTCATACCAGTAAATTCTAGATTACTAAAAATTTATCTTTCGTCCGTTAATGTCGAAACCAGACCGCAACTTCTTACACTCAAAATGTGCTTAGAAAAAATGGTTGCGCTCGCAATTTTGCTCAATGCGATTTCATTGTTACAGGGAAGCAAAGTACTTTCTTCTCGCAGTCCGTCAGGAAGAAAAACAGGGCGGTATGCAACATATTCGTTATGGGATTAGCCGAACTCCTGGGTACTGCCCTTCTGCTATTTTTGGGTTGCATGGGATGCGTGAGTGGAGTTAGCGTCGTTCCGATTCCTCACCATTTGTCCGGAATAATATTTGGAATGACAGTCCTGCTTATAATTCAGGTAATTAGCTACAGTTAACTGACTCCTGTCTAATTACTACCCGTAAATTTCTGTGCTATAGTAATTAAAGATCTCCGTATAATTAACGTCTATTTACCATTTGTTTTGTGTTAACATGATCATTATACAAGTTGAACGGCTGTACTAAATTAGCGGCAATTTCTGAGAAAATGTAAACTAATTTTGAATTTTTTTTCTTTGTAGCTCTTTGGTCACATCTCTGGCGCCCACCTAAACCCCGCCGTTACACTATCCTCGGCAATACTGGGGCATCTTAAACCGCTACTGGTACCAGTGTACATCGCGGCACAATTCATCGGCGCATTCCTAGGTTTCGGGCTCTTAAAGGTGAGATCAAGTTCGCTTGCTCAAGACCCACCCCTAACGCGATTTTGTTATTGTTGCAGGTTTTAATACCGGAAGACTTGGCGGAAGAATTCAACGGTGACGTGAACGGTACGGCGGTGCCCGCGGTGGCGAAACCGGGACTGTGCAGCACAACTCTACACCCCAGGTTGACATCGATGCAGGCTTTGGCAATCGAAGCTATCATAACTACGGTTCTCATTATGATCTGCTGCTCGGTTTGGGACAAAAGAAACGCAAAGAATACAGATTCCACGCCGGTCCGATTTGGTTTGATCATCAGCGTCATTTCGATGACAGCGGTAAGTTTGTCGCGTCTCATTCTGCTGGACGAGATCTAAACATCTTTGTTCTTTTCAGGGCCCCTTCACTGGTGCAAGCATGAACACTGTGAGAAGCTTTGCGCCCGCTGTATTCAACGGCGACTGGGATTCGCACTGGGTAAGCATCAACCCTTCAATTCAATTGAACTAAGACATTTTTCGAGATCAACATTTTGCAACAGTTGCAATAATAACATTCTTTTGTTCCAGGTATACTGGGTTGGTCCAACTCTTGGCGCACTAATCGGAACGTTCTCTTACAAATTCCTTTTTGAAGATTCGGACGACGAGGAGGACTCCAATGAAGACAAATTAAACAACACCGAAGATATTCCTTTACATGAAAGCCACATACGTATGAAAAACAACATTGTGTAAGAAGCAATATTTGCCCAATAAACCCAATTTTATATCCTATGAAGATTGCTCCAATTAACCGTACTGATTTCCCTGCACACTGTTCGAAAAAGTGTGTTTTCCAAAATGTTCACTAAGTGAAAGATCAATAATTATTCGAAGCAATATTTGCTTTTTAATTTATTTATAGTGTAGATCTGTTTGTTTGGTTGGGTAAAGATTGTGCAGGAAGACTATGGTTGCATTATTTTTTTATAATTGACGGAAAAACTGAAAAAGTGAGAATCGTTTTTAATTTTACCAGTAAGTAGTATTTTAATGTTTTTAAGTTTATTCGATGTTGGAATATGCAGCCATGAATGATTGTGATTTTATATAAGTAGGAAAAACAAACTATTTTTTATACGCATGCAATTGTGCAAGATTCTACTTGTTCCTTACGTATAGCTATTTTTAGTGAATCTTGTACCAATTTGTTGTATTACTTTCAGGGTAATGTAAATGATATTATATTTGTGATATAGAGATATAGATATAGACTTTGTAGATTGAAAAATCGTTTCGCATAGACTTTACTGATTAATCCCACTTCTTGTAGTATTCAATGCAGAAGGGAACTGAGTGTCAAAATTTTAAGGGACCTGAAGTATCACTATTTGATAACTGTGATAAGTTATAGTGATCGCGTAGTTCCTTATCGTAATTTGGGTGCGGTGTTTGATATAGAGATCAATTGTACATATCTGTTAGGATTTTATATATCGATGTAAATAAGAATTAAAAATTCTGTTTATAATTTGTTTTTTTAATTGGGCTCTTTTACCTAAGTAATTAAGAGTTGCTAGCATGCTGCTGATAGTGAAACTTATCGATCTCGTCTGTTACTGAAATTGAAGTAAATGATGATGATTTGTACAGATTATACTTATCAAGGACGCCACAAGGGATAATTTAAGTAGTTAAAAGTAGATAATTTGTTCTACATAATTTGATCACATATTTTCTCAATCATACAAATCGTATTGCGAACAGCGTCATTCAGCGTCCTTTAAACGCATATGTAATACTATACGTACTTCGCAAGATGTCGTGCGATAGATAATGCATGTTCAGACACTGTTCACCGATTCCACAATGTCATTGTGTATTTTTTAAGACATTGTTGTTTGTATTTGCAACAAAAAGGAATGGTTCTCCACTGATACTCTCCACCTTTGCCCTATCACGATCGTTATTCATGAGATAAGAAAAATAGTGAAAAATATTGTCAGTGTAAAGTACGAAAACGTTAAAATTGAGAGCACAATATTCCCGCCCATCTACGCTATTTCTTGGGTTACTTGTTCTCTTTTAAATGTTCCCAGAATCCAGATGACGGATTAGAAGCACGCGCTTGATAATACAAAACTGCACGTCTGGTATTATGATAACCTCTGATTTCTCAAACTCCAAATAATATCGCCTCGCTTTCATGCTTGGAGCATCCAAAACTATTAACCCTCTGTTAAACACTACCAAATCAGAACACGCTGACAATTTAAAAAAAAATTTCTACATTACATCCCAACTTGGAAATTCCACAGTCTGATAAGAAGACCCGAAGATATACATCATAGGGGATCGGATAGATAACTTAATTAGCGGAAAAGATTTAGCCACATTGAAGTTTCTGACATAACAAAAGCCGCTCCTCACATTTCTCAAATTGCCATGAATTACCGCAGGATAGTCAAGTTATGCCGCAGTTTAAAGAACTACAATGGCTTATTAAAACGCACATCGTACGTAAGACAACATTTTTGTGTTTGTAACTTTTAAGATGCATGATATCCAAATATCTGCTTTAGTTAATAAATTATTGTACGTCAATTTCCTGGTATTATTGAATCTGGTATAAAGCTTTGAATATTATAAAGTGATTGATTAGCATCTTAAACATATATAAGGTATATGATAATGCAAGTCAAGAGTAAATTACAAGAATACACAACAGAACACTATACACACGGCTAAGTTTCCTTCACAGAATTTTACCTACGTCGTTTATTGTTTATTGTAATTAAGCCAAATATTTTTAAATTAAAATCAATGTCACTGAAGGTAGCTTGGGATTCGGATTCCAATTCGCAAACATTACAAGTTCACCAACAAGTTATACCAAACTATAGGAATTTATAAAGAAAAGGGTGTAAACCGCATATATACGCGCAATGAAAACAATATAAATCTACTACGAATACACGCAAAAACCTTACAAAACAACACAAATGGTCAAATACCCCTTACTTATAGACTTATAGCATAATATCTGTATTATACTATGCTTTAGTAATAACTGCTATAATAGCTAAGTATAGCCAATCGTTATTCCTTTATAATTACTTTAGTAACAGGCCACAAAAATTCATTATAAGCATAACAACCATTTCTGTAAAAGATACCCTTTACAAATGCGGATGTTATGGGACCAACCTATCCTTTAACGATAGGGTAGAATTATTACGTCTACAATTCTGTAACTCGCTGGAACAACTTCTACAAAATAATGCAAAAAATAATAAACACTTATGGCGGTTTGCACCGACAAATTTAAGCTGAACTTAGCTAAAATCCATGGCAACCAACCATTGTCTCAGTAATCGTTACCATGGATTTTAATTTACGCTTAAGCTAAGCTGCGCTTAAATTTGTCGGTAAAGATAAAATGTAATTTTCCTCTCTAGTATGAGGAAATTAAAACAACGGCTGTGTTAATCTTAATAATTACATTTAAAATTGAAACATACTCCCATCTAGATTGCTATGTGTCAAACTTCGTTATTGCATACGATAATTATTCAATTTTATTTGTAGTTTCAGAAAAAACTCGCCAAAATCACCGAGGAAATCACAAAAACACTTTATCTACTTGGATGCACAAAACTACAGGTGTTTTTGAGTTTTTGGTCAATTCATTGCCAAAACACATTGGCTTTGAGGCACAAGAATTACATTTTTTGTTCTTTTTACCTTATTTCACGAAATTCTTAACTGAATGGCACTTACCGTACTGACGTATCGATGAAAAGCGACAGTTTGAAAGATAACAAAACGTATTGGTTTGATACACATTTTTTTACGTAACACAAGATACGATTAAATTGTTTTCCTATTATTTGGTTCACTAAAACTGTATGCCAAATCTTATTATAAAATAAAGTAAAAGCAATTCAAACAGTCTAAAAAAACTGACCAAACCTTAATAGCCATTAACAAAGACTGACCTTAAGAATTAAACAGCTTATGACAGTGGAATATAAAATGTGTAAAAGTAATCTTTAAGGTTGATATCAATCATAGTCAGAAACTTGCAGAACGATTTACCAGAGGAGAAAACATACCCACCAACTTCGTCAAAAATCGATGCACAATTTTAGTTAACACACTAGGATGCTCATTATAATATGTATAGGTATGTTCACTATAAGTGTTCCAAGTACCTAGTTTAGATTTAAGTATATTCCTCGTTTTTAAATTTTCTTGCTCATCAGGCTACCAATTTTGTAGTGTTTTCATTTTGTTCTCAGGTAGTCTAGGGCGGAATTGAGAATAGCCCTACTGCAGCGACACTACATGTTGGAAGAGGGGGTTGGGAAAGGGCGGAATTTTAAGTAATACATCAATTAGAATACTTACCTACTGTTTCTTTTCACTTGAATAAAAGTGTTACATTTAAACCTTTTGGATTAAAAAATACAGTACAAAAACCGCTTTCTTAAGGTTACCTACTCTGTAAAAAAATGATGATGCTTTTACGATGCCACGTTTCGGTTTTTAGATATGAACATCAACTTTATTACACAATTCGTAACATAGTATTTATTTATTTAAATACGGCTCTAGATTTTTTGTTCACTTTTGAGTAGCTTTTTGATTTCTCAAAACTAATGATGTATAAAACTGAGTACTATCGCTTTGTTGTCAAAGGCAAGGCACACTTGGTACGAAAGCAATGCTTACTCTTCAACTTTGAAAGAAACTTTAAATGATAAAAGAGCGATAGCAGCAAAATGTAACAAACTCTCAAGTAAACGATTTCTTTCGGTGTTGATTACAATCAGTATTATATCCCTAACCAAAAAATCCAAAAATCCTTTGTCGTAAAGGACTAGTAGTGGTACAGACGGACAGACAGATGGATAGACAGACGGATGAAGTGTATAGAAACTTGTCTGAAATTGATTCACACATCTATGACGCTATGACAAACACTGCTGGCGGGAATTTTATATAATTTGTACTATGCCAATTTGCCGTATAAGAATTTCAAAATCCTTATCTCAGGAGAAGATGGTAAGTATAATAATTAATAGGTTCATGTTGGTAGTGTAAAAAACTCTCAAGTACATAATACGGTCATTCCATTTAAAATGTTCTGGTAGATGTTAAATCGATGTTATTACGTACGGTTCTTACCATCCCACGTGGGTATTTTTAAAGAGATTGTTTACGTATTGGATTTTCTGCTTAATCAAAACGTTGACCTTTCATATCGCATTTTTCAAGTTATCCATAAGTTATCAGTTAGACTTTTCTTTCAGATGTATTTACGTAAAAGGAATGACTAATAATTAATTGTTACAGTCATCAGAGATTTATGCTAAGTAGGTATATCTTATTTTTAGCGATTTATGGCAATACTTCAATTTGGTGGATTTATTTACTTGTCTTTTGTCGAAATATTGTTTCAATTGAGATTATTTTATTCATACGTAATACAGATAAAGAAATTTTTTCTTTTGATTTGGATTTGGTTGAAATAGATACAAAGAGACTAAATTGTTAACATATACAATATTGATGTTCAATAACAAACTTTAAATGGTAGGTACATATATTGCATAACAAGTCATTGAAAGCGGAAGGTACATTTTATACACGTGTGAAAGATAGCTTCCACAAGTACACTTTTTTCCCTCTAACCCACTAACCCATCGAATGACATTCGTATTATGCCCATGTACACCTACACACAATGATTGGATAGATAGGTTCCTAAGTACCTTCTGTCTAATAGATAAAACCATATAAGAAAGCAAAAACTAATTTCGGCTGCGTTGTCCACAGTGAATGAAACAAGAAATTTATCACGCGGACTAACTTTAATAAATCGTACCATTTTCGAAGGGAGTCACAGAAAAAAGTATTAATTGCATGTGCTATATGATAGATCATATCGTATGAAAAGTTGAAGCATATGAGATAATTAAATTGTAAACAATTTGAAAGATAATGAACGTCACTTATTGCAATATTTAGTATAGGTGTTAATAAAACGATAAATTGATTATTTGCCACCTTCCACGCGATTTTGGGTGATGACGTTTGTGTCGTCTCCATTCTAGTTAACACTTTATTGCTAAATTTTCGCGATCCTTCGTCACAAGCTGTTTCGTAAATCAACATCAAACGTAACACCATTGTTTACACGTGTACATACAATGGTAACACTTATTGAATCACCGTTCAATTTCGTCTATAACCTTAGCCTGTCTTCCATCGATAATAATTTATTAACGTTGGAGAACAATATTTATGTTTTTTTAAAATATTGCTATAAAGCAATATTTTAGT